AAAAGTGCTTTTTATGAGCAGAGCCATTCATTAACAGGCAGCTTTGGCTGAGGGAAAAGGAGATGAGAAGGTGACAGGAACTGTGCTGACCAATGCAGGAGAAGCAGGTGACAATTTTGGGACCCTAAGACAAAGAATCCACACAATCTCAAAGAGATGGAACTTACCACTAGAGAATTTCTCATGCTGTCTCTGACCTTCTGGGTGCTCCATGCAAAGTGGGAATTATGGGATGCTTTGGGAGGGAGGGTTCATTTTGGGTAGTGTTAGGTGTCCAACAGATGTTAACCTATCTCCCTCTGAAGTTAGCTCTGCCCAGCTGACAATGCAAAACAAAACAACAACAACAACAACAACAACCTACTAAGCTCAGATCAGGGTGTCAATCTAACTTGACTAGTGGACCCTCATACTTAATAGGTTACTTCCAAATTGTGTTGTCTTATATCTACTCAGTTGTTCTTGAGGAGAATCAGCAAATTGCTTAAAGATCTCTGTTAAAGAAAAAATGGTGGATAAAAGGCACTGATAGATGCTCAGAATAAAGCAAAAATTCATGAAAGAAATATTAGACCAGTTGGCTTAGGCAATTTATATTGATTCATGTTAAACAATTTATTATGTGCTTAGCATTGTTTGGCTAAGCTAACCATGGCAGATTAACCTTTGAATTGTTTAAGTTGATCTCATTCCTTGATCATAAAACTTTTAGCTCTGTAAACAACTGACATTTATGGATAACATGGTCAAGTACAAATATTCCTCTCAACTGCATTTAATAAAGTTTCCCCACTTGGGAGGGAGGATGGAAAAGAGACTTTTTAATATGCAAAGTCAATACATACAATTGAATAACTATGTAGGTCACCAGAAGAATCAATATATCCATCCAGACAAAAAGCCATGTTGCAGCTGAAACAGTCTTGTGTGGCAGTAGATTAAAAACTACTATACTTCTTATGGCATAAGTATTGGCACATTAGAGTCCACTTCACTCTGCACATGTGTTATCCTGAGATGGCATGCACACACAAGCGCACACACATAAAAATAGAAGAAGGGAGATGCTCTTATAAGAAGGGCTGGTCTGAATGTCTGACAGCCTGTCTGCACACCACCCTCATACTTCTCCACATTCAAGAGATCAGAAATAACACTAAGGTTGAGGGGAGGTGGGCACAGAGACTTGTCCATGCCAGGGAAAGCAACCACTCTTCCCCACTGTTGTCTCTGACCAGCAATCAGGAGCAACCAGTGGGGCAACCTGGGCATTGGGTCACTCTTAATTGTGTGTGGGCAATCCCCAACACACAATCTGAGAGAGCAACAGGTGTGCAGTGTCATGCCTTAGTCAGTGAGTCCTACTGCCTTTCACCCTTGCAGCCATCTTCAATCCCAGGCTGGAGATAAGAGACACTTGAACCATGTTGAATACACTAAAGGGGCATGGGAGGTGTCAGTACATGAAGGAGTTCTGCACCCCTGTTCTAGTGACATCTGCGATTCTTCTTGTTAACCATGCTGGGGCCCTCTTAGACTGGCTGGAGCTGTGATAAACATTCTAGATGAGATTCTAATTGTTCTAACATCCCCACCCCAAGTGAAAGGAAGCAGTGAGAAAGAGTTGAGGTGCATGTACACCAATGCTAGAAACATGGGTAATAAGCAGGAAGAGCTTGAAGCTCTCCTGGGAATAAGAAGGTATGACCTGATGGGGATCATGGAAACTTGGTGGGATGAAAGGCAAGTCTGGAATGTAAACATAGAGGGGTAAAACCTTTTTAGAAAGGACAGAAAGGGAAAGGGGGTGGGGGCGTAGCTTTATATGTCAGGGGAGGGATAGGATGCAGTGAGATAGAATGCAGCACAGGTAGGGATTTGGTAGAGGCAGTCTGGGTGAAACTTAGGGGTTTTGATAGGGAAAGGGACCTGACAATGGGGGTACGTTATTGCTCTTCAGGTCAACTTGAGACCCTGGATGATATCCTGACAGATCAGAGTCAAAGGATATCTTGGGGGAGAGACAGAGTAATTATGGGAGATTTCAATCTCCCGGATATTAGTTGGGAGACTCACTTGGCAGTGACATCCAGGTCACGTCACTTCCTAGAAGCTATAGAGGGAGAGTTTTTCACACGGAGGGTCCGAGAGGTGACAAGCGGTGGGGAACATCCTTGACTTGGTCTTGATCAACAGAGAGGCGCTGATAGATGAGGTACAGATTAGGGGAGCTCTGGATGCGAGTGATCATCCTTTGCTTTACAACCAGGGGAATGGGGACATACAGCAGGTCAAGTATTAGAAGCTGGGACTTCAAGAGGGCCAACTTTGGCCAACTGAAGGCCAGACTAGGGAAAGTCTCCGGGCAAAGTTTACTGGAAGGCAAGCGAGTTGAGGAGGGGTGGGTGGCACTCAAAAGGGAGGTTTTGGAGGCACAAGCCTTGACAATACCTCTAGTTAGTAAGGTGGGGAGGCAAAGGAGAGCACTGCTATGGAAAGGAGGTGGTTAGAGGGATTAGACGGAAGAGAAACCTCGGTAGGAAATGGGTACGGGGGCAAATAGACAGAAGGGTATACCAGAAGGAGGAGGCCCGTTGCAGAAGGATTCTTCGCAAGGCTAAGGCTGATTATGAGCTGAGACTTGCCAAGAATATCAAGAGCAACAAAAAGGGCTCCTATCAGCATGTAAATAGGAAGAGGAAGGGAAGACAAATAGTGGGACAGCTAAATAAGGAGGAAGGAAATCCAGTCACTGATACGAGGGAAAAGGCACAGATGCTAAATGACTATTTTGTCTCTGTTTTCTCCCGAAAGCAGGACGGGGGAGATCTGCATAGGAGATTACATGAGTCTGGGGACTTAGGGGCACAGATTAGAGTCACCCCCCTAGAAGTCGAGGGGCTCCTCAGGGCATTGGATGTTACAAGGCACCAGGCCCTGATGGGTTACACTCGAGAGTACTTAGAGAGTTGGCAGGGGTTCTCTCACGCCTGCTGGCCTCCATTTTTGAGGCCTTTTGAGACAGTGAAGTTCCAGATGACTGGAGGGTGGCGTCAGTGGTCCCAATTTTCAAAAAGGGTAGTAGAAGGGACATGGGGAATTACAGTCCAGTTAGCCTTACGTCCATTGTAGGAAAAACAATGGAAAGGCTCATGGTTCTGCCCCCAATCAGAGGGTTCCAGGTAGTCTTGTCAACCGCCCCTCAAGACTGACGGTGGTGCTGCTCAATGCCAGGTCGGTCCACAATAAATCTTCCCTTATCCATGACTTGATTGTGGATGAGGGGGCCGACCTGGCTTGCATAACGGAGACTTGGGCGGGAGAGGGGGGGGATGTCGCCCTCTCTCAAATGTGCCCGCCCGGGTATCTGGTTCAGCACCATTCACGCCTGGAGAGGAGGGGAGGGGGGGTTGCTTTGGTTTACCAAGCCTTCATCTCCCTCACGGGACTTCCGGTCCCTTTGAGGCCAGGGCTGGAGTGCCTCTACTTGGTGTTGGGCAACCGAGACAGATTGGGGATTCTGTTGGTGTACCGTGCACCCTTCTACCCAACAGTCTCCCTGCCTGAGCTGATGGAGATCATCTCGGACCTGGTGTTGAGGACCCTCAGAATGTTGGTCCTGGGTGACTTCAATCTCCATGCCGAGACTGGTCTGAGCAGGGTGGCTCAGGACTTCATGGCTTCCATGAGGGCCATGGGGCTCTCTCAATTTGTCACAGGCCCGACCCATGAACGTGGACACACTCTGGACCTGGTTTTCTCAACGGGGCAGGAAGAGGGTGGTCTGAGGGTGAGGAATTTATGTCTGACACCCCTGTCATGGTCAGATCACTTCCAGGTAAGGTTTGTGCTCAAGAGTGGCCTCTCTCTCTGTAAGGGTGCAGACCCAATTGTGTGGGTCTGCACCCGGAGCCGGATGGATCCGGATGGATTCCTGAAGGCCCTGGGGGAGTTTTTGGCTGCCAAGACTGGTGCTCCTGTTGAGGCTCTGGTCGAACTGTGGAACGGGGCGATGACCAGAGCTGTTGACACGATCGCTCCTAAGCATCCTCTCCCGCCGGGCAGAGCCCACTCTTCCCCTTGGTATACACCTGAATTGCGGGCGATGAAGCAGGCTGGGATACGGCTAGAGCATAGGTGGAGGAGATCACGGGATGAATCTGACCGAACACACTTAAGAGCCCATTATCGAGCCTATGCTGTGGCAGTGAGGGTGGCGAAAAAGAACTTCTTTTCCATTTCCATTGCCTCCTCAAAATGCCATCCAGCAGAGCTTTTTCGAGTGGTGCAAGGCCTGGTTCATCCTGGCCCTAAGAAAGATCTGGTTCCACCCTCAAAGGCCCACTGTGACGACTTTGCCAAGCATTTCAGGGAGAAAATCACTCAGATTCGTCACAAGCTAGACTCTACTAGTGACTCAGAGGTTTCTGGGGAGATACCAATGCCACCGTCTGGTCCAAAATTAATGGATGAATTTCAGTTATTGCGGCCTGATGATGTGGACAAGGTGCTTGGATGAGTACGTCCCACCACTTGCCTATTGGACCCTTGCCCATCTTGGTTAATAAATAACGCCAAGCACAGGATTGGAATCTGGATCTTGGAAGTGGTTAACGCTTCTCTGAGGGAGGGTCGGGTACCTGCCCCTTTAAAGGAGGCGGTAGTCCGACCAGTCCTGAAGAAAGCGTCACTGGATCTAGAGATGGCCACTAATTATAGACCAGTGGCCAACATCCCGTTTCTGGGTAAGGTGTTGGAGCGGGTGGCGGCGGGACAACTCCAAGCTCTCTTGGATGAAACTGATTATCTGGACCTATTTCAGTCCGGCTTCAGACCCAGGTACGGTACTGAATCTGCCTTGGTC